AGTTCTTACTAGAAATAGGTTACGCTGGTATATAAAAGAAGGGAAGGTAATGTGTGTATAAATAGTGAGAATTGAACTGCAGTCACACGGTATTGTTGAAGTTAACGTTCGTTCGTTACAGTGTTGTTTTAGCGCGAGTATTGAGATTAAGTGTATCGCAGAGTTATATTCGGAAAGAATAAACCAGCCGACGAAACTTAAGCGACACAAGTCTTTACTTAATAAAAAACGAAGTTACGGAAAGTTAATTAACAAACGGAGACGTAACAATACCAATGTTCTGTCAATGAATTTGATTTGAAGGTAGTTTCTATAGTAACATCACCCCATCTATGAATTAATTTATGCAACAACACATACCATAAAAGTTTAGAAAAATAAAATACTAATCTAGCAAAAAAAAAAAATATGAATAACATATCCAGAAAACAGGATATAAAATCAAACACTACTTTATCATGTGGAAACATACTGCACCAGAGTACTGTCGCATCAGTATAAAGCCTATAAAAGTACAGGCAATTATAATATGTCCAGTAGTATTAGTGTGATCCAGTCATGACTCCCAGTAATAAAACAATGCATGAAAAACATATAGAAGTAAGTGTTTTAGCTAGTTAGAGGTTACACCATTCGACAAGTTGCAGCAAGGTTTTTGTTCCAGTAGGATTTGTATGCAAGACTCTGAAGATAATGCGCGAAACTAGTACTATTAATAATAGTGATCAGGGTAGAAAACCGAAAGGCTCCAAAAGTCATGCTAAGTATTTTAGAGTATGTTTTTTACGAGATAGACGACAGTCAATTGCAGATTTTTTCCAAGATCTTGCTGTAAATACCCATGTGAATGTTACTTCAAAAAGAGTAAGATACACATTAGCACGAAGTGGTATCAGTGGTTATGTAACTGCTCGAAAATTGCTGTTGAAAAATAAGTAACCAAATCAAAAGATTGAAATGGGTATCGAACAAAGAAAAGTGTAATAAGCAAAGTTAAAGGCGTTTGTTAGTTACAGTTAAATCCAAATTCAAATTGTTCAGAAACAATAAACAACAGCTTATTCGATGCCAGAGAGGAGAATGTTGACTTTGTCAACGTACAACATATAAGATGAAGCATAGTGGAGATTAAGTACAAGTTTGGGGCTGCATATCTCAGCCGGTAATGTCGGTGATCTACACAGAATTGATGACACTCTTGCTGCTGATAATTACATGCAGATATTAATTTTCTAGCAAACAATTATTCCAAGCACGCACCAAGTAAAGGGGCAGTAAATGGACTAATAGAATAATCATAATCTTGGTTTTGTTTAAATAAAGTCCAGATATGAAATTCTTGAGGTTGTATGGGCTTATGTCAAATCTGAGAAATAGCGACCAAACAGCATGTCTGAATTTTGGGGAGAAGTAAAAGACACTTGGGACAATGTTCTCCAATCATACATTGATAAACAGCATGAAAACAAGGTGTCATGCTGGGTGTAAAGCATAGGGCTCATATATAACTTATTATACAACTTATTTGCTTCTATTTTGCATTTTCTATGATAATGTATTGAACCTTTCATAAATTCATTATCTAGTTGACATTACTAGTATTATGTAGTTTTTATCTGTATGTTCTGTAGTTATCTTCATTACTGTAGATAAAATATTTCACACTATTTTTGGCTGATCTATGCAATCACTTGGGGTGGGCGTGACCTATTGGTTAGCCAGGTACAGCTGCGGATCAAAGGTCCAGGGTTCAAGATGTGATGCCACTGAATACGCAATTTTATCTGTAGATTGGTTATAAAAGTAATTGTCCAGTCCGTTATTCGGTTTAAAAAGCCGGGAAAAAATATGTTTGCCCTCCTTCTGGTAGTAGTAAAAAATTAAGAACGGTTAAGTTTGAAACCTTGAATTTCTGCCTCAGCCGTTTAGCTCGTGTGCGCATAAGATACCATTCAGATTTAAAATTCCAATCCGCTTTCCTACAAATAAAAAATATATATGTAAACATGTTTAAACGAATCAATCAAAAAGTACAAAGATATACACGGAATTTGTACTTCTAACGCCTTGAGGAGTAGATTTAATTAACTTTCTTTTATAAAAGGCTATGCTTTTCAAAAGGTACTCCAATAAATAAGTGTGTTAGTTTGCAGGAAAAAAAAAGGACACTTTTGTTTGTATATATATATTAGCTGTTTAATTAATAGATGTATATATATAAATAAATTACTAAACTTTTATTATTTGTACAACGCCTAAAGCTTTCTCTGAAAAAAGAGAGGGCGTTTTCTCTTCCAAAGAGGAATGAAAAATAAGGAAAGTGTTAAGGTTAGAATTGTTTGTTATGAATATGATTATTAATACTTTAGAAGTAACTATCATAAGCATTCCATTTGCTATGTTAAATACTTTTGAATATAACTTTCTCTAGTCTTACAGTTAAAAAATAAAAGGTTTGTATAGCACACACACGCATATATATATATATATATAAACTTAGTTTTACAAATTACAGCTATGGTTACGTCGTTAGGCTAGCCCGATATTTCAATTATTTGGGCTGGTATTTAGGCTGTCTTCGGTTTCTGATATACGTGATGTAGAAAAGCTTTCGCACGTTTTTTGACTGAATTTCATTTATTTATAACTTACGTATGGCCGAAGTTGACGACTTCATCTGAAAATCAGATGTGAAACTAAAGGTATTGACATTTTGCTAAATTAAGTTAGGAAGTTGAAGCTCAGACATAAAACTTTAAAAACTATAAGTAATCTTTAAGTATTATTATTATTATTAACCAAAAGTTCAGAATCAGAATGTATTCTTCATATTTTTGCCATTTAAAAATAGTACGGTTAAACTTTAGATATTATTAACCAAAAATTCAGAATCTGGATGTGCTTTTAAATTTTTTGTCATGTACAAATTACATGATACAGAGACTAGCAAAGTCTGATGTCTTAATAATTATAAAATATCTTAACCTATCACAGTGTAGAAGGTGTTTTTTTTTGTTTTTTGAATTGGCAATGGAAGCCTTCATTTAAGACATTGAAAATTATTTACCTTTAGGTTTAAGTGATTTTTTATTTTATTTTAAGTGAATTTGCTACCTAGTTTAATGAAGACTAATAAGATATATTTATTTCTAATATTTTCAAATACATCAATTTAATAAATGTTACCATAAAAAAACTATAGCTAGGAATGTTTGGATCATGTAGAACTTTATATTTGCAAGTGGTATTATATGTTTTTAAGTCATGTAAAAATGTTTTGAAAATATACTGTTTGTTTCATAATAAGAACTGAGGTTTGCAGTTAACTGAAGCTAATTAGAAGCATGTATTGTTTTGAAGTTTAAAAAAAATTAATCACACCTTCACTAAAGTAAAGAGAAACTTCAAAAATGTTTTTGGTTCAGAATATTGAATCCTGCCAGAAAAAGTTTTTCCATTGTAAACAGCAAAAAGAAAAAAATGTAAAAAAAGGCTGTAAGGTTTTTTGTTTGTAATATTATCTTAATTAGTTAAAATAGCTTTATATTTGATGTATTGGTTATTTTGTTTAAATTTTAGTATTTTTATCATTTAAGAAGATGAGGAGAATTTTACTCTGATAAGTTTGTTTAGCTTGGAAAATGAAATTTTGAAAGATATTTGTTAGGATTAGGGTATTGCTTTTGACAGATTTGAAGAACTTAAAAGAATAAACTTCCTTCATAATGATCTGTATCCTAAAGTTTAAAAGTTAATTAGTGGTGAACTGATGGAAATGATAATCAGGATTTTTTGAAAATGCCTGAATGTTGGTGATGATCCAAGTGATTGAAGGATTGCTTATGTTCTTACTTTTAAGAAGAGGTGCAAAGAGGCTTATAAGAGCTATTGGCCTGCAAGTTTAATTACTAGGATTTTTTGGAAGCTATAAGCAAAAAGTGAAATTCAGCCAGTGTTTGTAAAATATATAATTTTTTCTTGCTTCATATGTTTTTTAATAATGCTTTAGTTACATGAATGAGAGTTTCTTGGTAGATATTTATCTTAACTTCACATACTCCTTTAATAAAATTCTTGTAAAAATTTAATTAACAAGTTACATTCTTAAGGTATAAGTGGAAATGTTAATAAATGTGTAATTAAAATTGTTTGCTTCTCACAAGAAGAGGATGGAAGTAACATTTTTATTTTTTTTTCAGCTTAGGTGAGAGCAACTTGTGGAAATGTTCATGAAGTATGTTGTTTTTCATTATTTACTTAAATGGTATATCACTGAAATTTGCAGATGATACAAAAGTTGATTAAGGCTGATACTTAGAATAACATTTAATTCAGAAGAATCTAGCTGCATTTGATGATAGTTTTTATATTTGGAACTGTGCTTTTGTACTGGTAAGTGTGCACTTGAGTCACAACAATGTATAAATGTTCTGTAATCTGACTGAAAAGCATATTGTTATTTGGTTATAATAAAAGACTGGTAGGGCCATTTATAAGACATTACCAACTTCTAATTAGTGTAGTAAAAATAATGCAGTTAAAGTGTTAGGATGTATTTTAAGAGACTTTAATTTGAAGACTTAATGTGTCTTTATCCTGTATAAACCTTTTTTTTAGGGTATCAGTATACAAGCCGTGTAATCTCTTTATATTATTTAAATGAATACTGTACTTGCAGATAGCCTCCTAAACTGGTAATAAGTATGAAACATTAGTATTTTGTCTATATTACTGACTGATTACTGCTATATTTGAAAATATGCTTTTATTGAATGAAAAATTGTATGTTTTTTTTTTTAATGTTGTATAATATATAAATGACTGAGTATTCAGTTAATTGCAGTTATATATTTTTATTCCTCAGATGTAACAAGTACATGTGATTAAAGGAATCTAATAAAAGAAGAAACCTAAGATGACTATGGGAGTAAAGCTAATGTTTACCTTTTTGTGCTGTGAAAAGGAACTGTGCAGACAGATTTTAAATAACTATATATATTGGTAAAAAGAATCAGCAAGTAAAAGAATGTTTACAAAATAAGGAGTAAAACATTTGATATGCAATTCAATACTGTTAATTATACGTAGTGAAACACAGTTTCACCATGACTACTGCAGTTTCTGTTGCTGACGATGTTGAAGCTGAAACACTTAAAGATAATTCTGAGGCTGTTTCCATAACTTCAAAGATGTCAGAAGGGTTTGAAAATAAAATATGTACCAGAAGCAGAAGGGCTGGTAAAGTTGCAGTTACTAACTCTTCTGGTGTCACTTCAAAGCTTCCAAACAAAATAAATAAGCATAAGGAAGGGGAGGAAGTTTCTTCAGTTAGTGAGAATGTTAAGTTAAAGGAAGAGATAGTAGAAGAGTTTGAAGTTGTTGCAGATAGTTCTAATGATGATGTAGAAACTGATAATGGGGAAAAATTTGAAACACCTCTTGAATTAGTTGAAGTTCAATATAATGACCATGAGGATTTTGATAATGTTGTGAAAAGTTTACTAGGGTTTGATGACCCTGGGGATTCTTGGCATTTAGCCAGAGGTTATTCTAAGTACAAGAAGAAATACAAAAAAACGTCTCGTGTTAATAGAAAGGGTCCATATACTTGTGAGGAGTGTGGAAAGGTTATTCGTTTTAGACAACAATTTGATCAACACATGCTGAGTGACCATGGTATTGCCAGGCCTTATTCCTGTCCAATCTGTGGGCAACAGTTTAAAGTACATAGATCAGTTGAAAGACATGTAGCACTCCATGCAATGGAATGTTCCTCTTCAGATGAAGGCATCCACAGTTCCAACATTACAGATGTTAAATGGCAAAAGAATAATGATTCAACAAATATTCCCACAGGGTCATCAAGTCACTGTAAGATGTGTGCTAAACCCATTATTCTTCAGAAAAATAATACAGGAGATAAACCTTTCACACAGTTATGTCAAATGTGCAAACAAAAGATTGTTCAGTCTCAGCTTTACCAAAGTGAAAAATTCCATGCTAGTCAGTTGGTCTCTTTCAAATGTGAAACATGCAGTTTGCAATTTAAAGATCAGGACTGCTGGAAAAACCATTTGTTAGAACATACAAGTAGTGAGAAAAAAACAAAAAATTGTGAAATCTGCTCAAAAACTTTCATTAGCAGTCGGTTGAAAGCAAGGCACATCCTGTCAGAACATATTAACTCTGAACGAAAGGACTGTAAGATATGTAAAACTTCTTGTAAGTGTGGAGCTGGTTCCAAAAAGGTCCTTGGAATACAGAAAAATCTCAACAGAAACCAGTCAGGGTCAAGGAAAATGCCTTATACTCTGTTGAAAAGCACAACTGAACAACATTCTCAAGGAAAAGACCTACACAGCACTGAGCCAAAAATATTTCATTGCATGTATTGCAAGTTTCGCCACCATGATAGAGAAAAACTGAACCTACACATAAAAGATAAACATGCTCCTAACAGAGTAATCCAGTGTGATGAGTGTTCTCATACATTTGTTCAGGAATCAGGATTAAAAAACCACAAACGAATCCACACTGGAGAGTGTTCATATCTTTGTCCCATTTGTGGGTTGTCCTTCATAACCCAGGGGAATGTATTCAGTCATCTTCGTATTCATCCCAACAGTACTAAAAGTTTAGTGGAGTTGTGAAAACTTGTGCTTTGTGTGGAATAAGATTTTCAATTGAAAAATATTGTCATAATCTGACTTGTGATACTCTCAGGTACAGTTGTTAACTTCCACTTGGTAAAATTGAATTGGAATAACAGGGACAAATCTAGACTCACTTTTACACTATTAAACATATAGTATTTTCCTTGACAAAGAGCCATACATTGTGTTTACTTACTATTATGTTGGAGGCCCACTAATTTAATTCTGTGTTGTAGCAGTACATGTCACTAAATTCTCTGAAAACAAAGTTCACAGTGTGAAAATGGTAACTAGATTTGTTCTTGCCATCTTGTTTTAATAACTTAGATAAAGGTTAAGCTCACAACTCTTTTCGTATCAAACTTGTATGTTTTGTATGCATTATGTTTGGGTGTGAAAGGGAAAAAAATATTGTGTTTCCATATGATAAGACATATTTGTGCTGTATATTTCAACTTCTACATGAAGTATAGTTATCTCAATATCTGTCAAAAAAACAAAATATCTGAAAAACTAAAACTTTATTTTTATATTGTAAAGTTGATTTGGCAAAACTAGTGAAATTGTACATTAAAAGTTCTTTAATAATTTTGTTATTAATTTGTTGATAATGCAGTTTCCTCTTGCTCATTGAAAGAATGCTTGAACTGTATCCCTCAATTTAGGCTTTACACATGTGATGTGTCAAAATAGCATATGTGTTACAGGATTCTTGAAGTTTAACTGCAGTGAAAGCTGACAGTTAAATGAATTGTAATAAAGTCAGATTTTCAAATGGGAAACTTTTAATATTTAAAAGTCTATGGCATAACCTTATGTTTTGTTTGATCCTACTTAACTTGGAAGCCAGTCTTGTGTGAGATTCTGTACTTTAGTTTCTTCATTAGAGAGCAATTTTTTCAAATGTACGTTTTGTAATACTGACTCTATGGCTTAGCCTGACTCACTTCACCACTTTTAGAATTTGTTTTTAATGAATTATTAATTTTTGAAGCAATTGGTTAGAAAGGACTTTCAATATAAACTTAAGGGTGCCCAAAATTTAATCCGAGGACTCTTAGGGACTTCTAAAAGTCTGAGTCATTGAATTCTGTTGCATGTAATTTTTTCTTAATCTTGACTAGAGCTGGGTAATTAGTGGAATTTTATAAGTGTTTGATCATTGGTCTCATTAATTTTCATGTAGGGAATGAAATAAGTTTTATTTCTTCATTCAAATGTAGGTGTCTGTTGGCAGCTCATCATTATATGACATTTCTCACCATATTATCAAGTAAATATTACATTACTCACAAATTTTTTACAAATTGCATGTTAATAATAATTTATAAATATACTACCTACATTTAGTGTGACAACTCTCCCTGTTCCGACACTAGCTTGTCTACATTAGCCTCAATTAGCTCGACTCAGTAAAAAAGACTGTGAATTTTCAGAAAATGTACACAACACACAAAGCAAATGAGAATTCTCTTAAACTGGACAAGGGACATGAATGCACTGAGTGGCAAAGACATTAACACTATGGGTACTACTTCATGAAGTATGACAATACTATACACAACTGGCTATTAACAATATTATCAGACACCAATAGACTGTAAACTACAGTTATATCCTGTACACTGAAAGCAGTCCTACAGACACTGTACATTGCTAACCAGCCATTACCTAACTCTGCAGTTAAGTATTTATACACTGCAACTCAGTTTGTGTGTGGATATCACATTTTTACAGTATTGCACATAACTATGAAACAAATCATTCAACAATAAATACCTTTTATATTCAATATCGTGTGAACTATTGTGATGCATCATAGATTAGGCTTTCAGAAAAGATGATACAAAATGTAACTCATTATAAACATGAAAGTGATAAGTTATTAATGGGTAATGTATGATAATAGATTTCATATAATGTCACGTTGTTGTAACAATCTTCTAAATTACACAAAGAAAATAATTCAAGGTCCAGTCCACATAACAATAACAAATAAGTTTATTTTTTCCTTAATGTTCCTGCAAGCTGTTTCCTCATGTACACTGTTGTAACTTATAAGTTATAGGCTTAAGTAACTTTAAAATGATGCTCAAATGAAATTACCATGACTAACATAAAAATATATATTTACCTATACAGTTTAATGACTAATTGATTGAGTAACTGAATATATATGTGCTAACTAACACTGATCCAAATCCTGCATTATAACTAAATACTTCACTGCACTAAAACTGACTGAATAACACTTTACTGACTCAGTACTCATTCAGTATTCGCTGCTCTCAGAAAGCAAAACACTGATCCAAATCCTGCATTATAACTAAATACTTCACTGCACTAAAACTGACTGAATAACACCTTACTGACTCAGTACTCATTCACTATTCGCTGCTCTCAGAAAGCAAAACACTGATCCTCTTACTTATAACCTACCTTGTCTTTCACTACTCCCAAAATTTACTAGGTTTTTGTGATGTCATATATAGAACATTTTAGGCCTACTCCAACAAACTTACTTAATCGTAACATCATGCACCCTCTAATTAACATCCAAATAAAAACATTTAAAATATAGCTTACAACAATATGTACTTGATCATGTCATGTAATGCCTATTTGTCAATAGACACCTCCATCTGAAATAAAAGAATAATCCTAACTTCATGCCTTACACATGAAATTTGAATAATTAGTATAATCAAAAATAGTAGTACTTCGAAACTCTTAATTTTGATTAGTTGATTATTTTTGTGAGTTGTTACAGTAATAAATGAAGCTGACCAAGTATGAATTAATCAAAAATAATAATGAGAAATTATAGTGGCAATATTTTTATTGCTTCAATAATGGGAATAATTTAAAAGAGTAATAATCAGAAACATTAATTTTGATTAAGTAATTATTTTTCTGACATTAATTGGTGTAATGATACTTTTGATTAATCAATTATTTTAGTGACTATAATCAGTGCTCACAAGTCATCTAGTTAATCACCCAGTTCTAATCTTGTGACTCATCATGTAATTCTGGTAGAACTGGTAATAATTATAAAATTCTGGTGATTCATAATGTAACTTAGCTTTTTAATGTGTAATAATTAAAAACTGCTGGTGATTCACAATGTAACTTAGCAGCTTTTTAATGTGTAATAATTAAAAACTGCTGGTGATTCATAATGTAACTTAGCAGCTTTTTAATGTGTAATAATTAAAAACTGCTGGTGATTCATAATGTAACTTAGCAGTTTTTTAATGTGAACAAATGATAAAAATTGATCTTCATTGTGTTTGGGATATGGTTAAAAGTGTAAGTTTTTATATAAATTAACAAAAACTTCCCATGATACTGAAGTAATCACAATCACTGTAAATTATATTGGTGTTTTTATTTTTTCCAAATGTTGTTTCATGCAATAAATATTCATAGATCTAAATTTCTTATAATAGCCAGTTGGGTATCTCATTAAGAGGAAAAAGTTTGGCTTGATGTATTTTCTAAGTAATTTTCAATGAAATTGGCTAATATCCAAAAGTTGAAAAGGCATACCAGACCAATGTAGATGCTGGAACTTGGCTAGTAATTTAAAATGTTACAGTACGTGACTGATACTTTTTACTTCTTAGAATGAAACATATAATGTTTTGTTCCTCTCTTGAGCTTATACTAAAGATTTGTCTTATTAAATGTTATTTCTTGCATTTCTAGTAACTATATAGATTTTTCAATTTACATAGTATGAAGTACATCAATGAATATTTTCTTATTTAAAACTTAAAAATATGTTGGTGTTTTTAAAAGTTGGTTGTGTGTGAACTCCATGAAATAAGATTATGTGGAAAACTAGGTATTGTAATACATTTTTTGTTAAAATGAAATAATCTATAGGTGAACTTGTACAAATTTGTTTTAATATTAAATCAGATTTTCTGAGAAACTATAAGAAGAAAAACATTTATCACATCTACCATTTCATGTTGTTTTCCTCTATTTTGTAACTGTATGTTTATTAACTGTATAACAGAAGTTTGTGCCATTGTCTTGTTTGTAAATGCGTATGTCATATTTTTAAAGTACAATAATTTGTGTATTGTATATAGATATGCATATTTGCTCTTAAATAAGGTTTTCATGCCGTGACCACGTATTTAAGATCACCAGTTGTTTCAAAATATCCACACACAATAAACCCAGATGGTATGATGATAGGTTAAAATGATGTAGATATTACTAGAAGAGGACAGAATTATGATCATGTAAAACCTAGTGAATAATACGTGTATATGTCCGTGTATTTGTGTTTCAATACAAACTACTACTACTACTACCATTACATCATCATTCCTTTATTCATGGAGAATATTTTTCAACCTCTCGTTTCTTCTTCATAATACAAAATAAGATGGGAGGTACATAATAATCAGTGGTTGGAATCTGTGAACAACTTTGAATTTTTGGTACAAGACAGGTGTTTAAAATGCATCATGATTGTGACTTTATGTTTATATATCTGAGTCTAACAAATATGTGTACAAGGTGCTTATTAAATTCAACTTTTTACAGATGTGAGAATATATGCTTAAAAGTTATGTGTTTCCTGTCTATTCAAGGCACTATCAAAATGTATTGTACATAAGATATTGCACTTACATTAATCAAGGTGTGACCATGAATAAAAATTTCTCCTAATATTTCTAATGCAAAACACCATGACATGCATAAAAAAATTGTTATCAGTGAAGAAAGTGAAACCGTGTGGTGTGGATTGATTGATGTGTATTATTCACCTTATCCTCATTTCGTATAAAGTTTATATCCTAAGCCTACCTGATAATGAATTTCGTGTGTATTCATTGATAAAAGTAGCATTGGCTGAATTAATGAACACAGCTGCTTAGTAAAGTCTTTGAAAGAAGTTGAAATTTTCAGTGGTAAACTGGTAATATATACATGTATATATCTTTAAGAAAATATCAAATAATACAAATACCATTTATGTAGCTAGATTATGTGGAATACTTCAACACTTTATGCTTTTATTGATTTAAAATATCAGGTTATCTGCATTGTGCCCATACGTGTATCAAACCCTCACATTTAGCATTATAAGCCATCAAGCTTACTACTAATCTACCACGGGTACTTTTGGCTATATTTATACTTCTAATATGTTACCTCTTGATTCTATAATCTCTCTGTTTTCTCTCTATTGTATGACTGAATTATTTCCGTTTATTTTATTATAATTTCTAACTTTGTTAGTTTGTATGACTGAATTATTTCCTGTCATTATATAACCAATTCAGTCTTTGTTAGTTTGTATGGCCAACTTATTTCCTATCATTATATAACCAATTCAGTCTTTGTTAGTTTGTATGACTGACTTATTTCCTATCATTATATAACCAATTCAGTCTTTGTTAGTTTGTATGGCTGAATTATTTCCTCTCATTATATAACCAATTCAGTCTTTGTTAGTTTGTATGGCTGAATTATTTCCTATCATTATATAACCAATTCAGTCTTTGTTAGTTTGTATGGCTGAATTATTTCCTATCATTATATAACCAATTCAGTCTTTGTTAGTTT